GGAGGCTGGGGAGTCTGGGAAGGCTGAGGGGCTGGCCAGGCTGGGGGCTGTGCCCTGTGCATGGGGAGCAGACAAGTCTCTTCCCCTCAGGCCCCCATGGCTCACCCAGAATACAAGAGGTGGACCCCAAATCCATCCCCACCCTGCCCTCCAGGCCTCGGGCTCCCCACACACTCACAGCCAGAGGGGAAGGGCTTTCTCACAGACCCGCTCTTGCCTTTGAAACCCCTTGGTGGCTCCCGGGTGCTCTACAGGCCATCTCCTGGCACTATAGGCCCTACACCTCCCACCGTGGGCACCTCCTCAGCTCTCCCACAGCCACATCACCTCCTCTCCAAGCCCTCCTCGCATCCTCCACCCCCTCCCCGGGCCAGAATGTCCCCCTAAGCGCTGTCCAACCTCTCTGCTGGGCTTGTTCAGGGTCCCTCTTCTCAGCCAGGGAGGGACCTCTCTGACTCATCCCAGGTCTGAGTGACCCGGGGCAGGGGACGCGTGGCTCTAATTGAATCCTGATCTCTCCCAGGGCTTCCATAGGACCCTGCTTGAGGATTCGGGCCGCTGCTGGGGCTTGAAGCTCACAAGGCTTCCCTTTGTGGACATGTCTAGTGCTTCTGTTCTCTCAGAAGCTTCTGCCCTGCTGGTACTGCAGGGGACAGGAGAAGGATTGGAGAGAATGACACCTCTCAGAGTGAGTACCAGGGACTGCCATGTCCTGCCAGACACACCCACGTGGAACTGCCCCCAGAACCTCAAGGCAGCTTTGCCCCTGCTGGACTGAGGAGAGGCTGGGCCAACCTCGGACCCAGGGAGAGGTACCCATGGCCCTGGGACCTCATGAGAGGAGGAAGCAGAAAGAGATGACCATACCTTGGTGCTGCCACGGAGAGTTGCCAGATTAAAGAAACGGAGGAGAGCAAAAAGAGAGACAGCAGTGAGAAGCTTGCTGGGGTTGGCCTGGGAGGGAGAGCGGAGGCCTGCCGCGGATGGCCCCTGCTGCCCCCAGCCTGCCCCACCCCAGAGGTAGGCTCCCTCTCTCACACACCATACACACACACACACACACACACACACACCCCCACCACCACCACACACCACACACCACATACACACCATGCCATACACACCCACGCACCACACACACGTGCGTCCACACGTGCCCGGGCACACACACGGCCCTGCCCTGTCCCTGAGCCGGCCCCAGGACTGTCCCTTGGGGATGCTGATACAAATCCACTCGCTTTCGTCTAAAAGCAAACAAGCCGGCTCTGTGTCTGCAGGCGCATTCGCCTGGAAACGGGCGGCAAGGCCCATCTCTCTGTTTGTTTTTCCAGGGCCTGACGTGTGTAGAACATTCCTCAGGCCCACGAGCCCTCAGGAAACCCTGTGGCCGTCCCCAGCCAGCAGCCAAGCCCCGCCTGGAATCGCCATGTGGGCTGCAGCGCTGGGCGGCCTCCCTCTGTCAGTAATGAGGACGCTCCGTGTCTGCTCCGTGTCTGCCATGCGGAGCCCCTGCCCGTCTGCACTTAAAGGCCAGCTCTGCTGGGAGCGCTCCCCTGTGCAGGCCCGGTGCTGAGCACCCGCCATCCACCATCTCCCTGAGCCCACACCCACCCAAGACACTCATCCTGCTTTGCAGAAGAAGAAACTGAGGCCTATATTTTGCCCAAGATCCCACAGCTGGGAGAGGAAGGGAGCGTGTGCAGGCCTCTGTTAGAATGCCTCCTCTGCTCGGTGGCCTCCAATGGTCCAGTGAAATGGGCAGGGGAAAGAGAATCATTCCGATGGGGAAGCTGAGGCCCCGTGCAGGACAGCGGCTTATTTGAATCTGCTCAGGGGATCTGTGCAGTCAGGACTCGAGCCTCATACTGAGAGCCTGGGACACGGCAGGATGTGGTCAGCACCCAGTCAGTAAGAGGACAGACAGGGGAAGGCTGCCCAGTCTATGTGTGGGGCCTCACACCTGCTGCCTCAGTTGACCTCCCTCTCTCTCTGAAGCAGGGATTTTACCTCTCAGGAAGCCCAGGGAGGCCAGGGGCTTTCCTCAGACCTCCAGGACCCGGAGGCAGGGCCACGATCACAACCCTGGTCTGGTCCTCTCCGTTTGTTCTGAGAAACTTTCTCGCCCATGGAGAGAATCCCACATGTTACAATGCCAGAGGGGAGCTGGGGACATAGCTGGTCCCCTCTGGAAAGCAAGGCCCTGCCCTGCAAGGGGCCTGACCCAAGGGGCCTCTAGGGGCGGGTGCTGGGGTAGCAAACTAGCAACACAGAGCTGCCTGCGGTGTTTATGTGGGGGGCTAGATCCAAGTGGGGTGCTGGGCTTGGCGTCTGCACTTCCCAGGCCTCCCTGGGACCTCCTGGGGAGACGAAGGCCTGAGATAAGCCTGCGGGCTCACTCTGGGCCTGGCCTGACCGAGGCCTTGGGGCTCTGTTCACACACCAAGTAGGGGCCAGAGGCCTGTTGCTTTGGGGCTGGGTCCAGGAAATGCAGTAAGGAGGGAGGGAGGAAGGAGAAGGGACAGGGAAGGTGGCCCGAGAGACATGGGAGGGTGGGGAAACGGTGCAGGGAGGCCTGGCACTGTCAGCGCTGGCTTGTGGCCTCTGGGAGATATAACTGGGGATGCTGGGGTACAGAGTGTGCCTCTCAGGGCCTGGGCCAGGGTGCCATGGGCCCCTTAGGCTGAAAAGGTGACAAAGGCAGGGAGATTTGCTAGTGCTGCTCCTCACTTCATGTCCGCAGCACAGCCTGTGACAATGAAGCTGAGAAGGGGAGGAGAGCTGGGTTCAGGTTGGGGACGGGGCCCTTCCTTGCCACCCTTACCGCTCTGCTCTGCTGCATCCCCCAAGATGGCTTCCACATCAGCTTTTCCAGCAGAGAGCACTGGACTCGGAGTGGCGCAGCCGGGTTTGCATCCCAGCTCTGCCACACACTTGCTGTGGACAGGGCAGAGGGCTCAGTCTCTCCGAGTCTCAATTTATGAAACGGGGATAATGGGCCCCATCTTGGCTGATCACCAGGATGAAACTGGGGGCAGTGTGTGTGAGACTGTGGGGCCGGATGTGCAGAGTGTCCCCTGCAGGGCCTGGCCTGCCCCCAGGAATATTGCTTCCCTGCTGTTTTCTGTGCACTGAATCTTCTGGGTCTCGGTTTTCCCGGCTCTAAGGTACATGGCTGGCATCAGAGGCCTGCAAGAGCCCTTTCAGCTCTGTCCTCTGCTGTCTCATGGCCTCCAACTTACTCTGGAGGGGTCAGCTGCCCTCCTGGGCCCGTTTCCTCCTCATCTGTGAACTGGATGGGCTGAGCGGCATCTACCCAAATCCCCCAGCCCCTGACCCACAGAGTTCCCCAAACACCTGCAGGAAGCATAGAGAAGCCAGCCTGGGGCCTGGACATGGCTCTGCCGCAGACCCCAGTCTCCTGCAGCACATGGGGGCTGGGATCCTCCTGGGGCACGTGCCCCTCACCCAGGGTCTAGTGTAAGGCCCTGGTCTGAGTCAGCTCTGCCACCATCCAGCTGTGCGATGGTGAGCAGGCACTGGCCTCAGGTGTCCCGCTTCCCTAATCTGTCAAATGGCTTAGTGACTGCCCCTGCCTAGAGCGCGGGGTCCGTATGAGATCCTGCGGGGTGAAGTTTTAGGAAGCACTCTATTAACGACACACGGAGGGCTGCCTGGGCAGACACTGGAATAAAGCTGCCGTTATCTACGCCTGGCGCAAACAAGGGAAGGGAGGTGGGAAGGGAGCCAGTATCTGGAGGCCTGGGTCACCCGCAGGAGCCTGGAGTCTTAGGCACTGCCCACCTCTGCTGCTCGCCTGCAGGGCTCAAGGGACAAAGGACTGCCCTGGAGAGTCTCTGACCTATGTCTACGGAGGGGATGGGAAGAGCAGGGAGCAATCTGCTCTGGGCGTGGCTGACAGGTTCCAGGGAGGGGACACAGGAAGGTGAGTGTGCTCCCTCCATGAGGCTGTGCACGGCTCTGGTTCCCAGGCTGGTACCCATAGGCCAAAGCAGTGCTTCTTAACTGGGGCAGGTTTGCCTCCCCTCACCCCTGGGGACATTTGGCATCAGAGAGTTTTGGTTGTTGCGACTGGGAGTGGGAACATCGCCTCCTCTCTAGTGAAGAGAGGCCAGGGATAACTGCTAAACATTCTAGAATGCAGAGGACGCCATCCGACCCACTGCCCTGCCAAGCATCATTCTGCCCCGAACATCAGCGGCGCTAAAGGGTAAGGCAGGGAGGCAGGGTCTCTGCACTGAATGAGTGGCAAGTGCGCAGCCATCCTCCACCCCGCCCTGGGCCTCTGCCTGCCGGGCCTACCGTGTCTAGGTGGGTGCGCTGGTGCTTGGCGCGGTCGCTGGAGTTGCTGAAGGCCTTCTGGCAGCCCGGGTGCTGGCACAGGTACGGCTTCTCGCCTGTGTGGCTCCTCAGGTGTATCTTGAGGTTCTCCAGCCGTGAGAAGGCCTTGCTGCAGCCTTCAAACTGCAGGAGAGGCTGGTGAGGGGAACTCCCAGCCCGCTGGACACCCCACCCCTGCATGGAAACTAACCCCCTAGGTCTGCCTGGCCCTAGCACCCCTGCCCCTCCCATCCTGCCTGAGCCTCTGGGAGCTCCGGATCAGCCGCCTGTGAAGTGCTCAGGACCCAGGCCTTATCTGGAAACGCCTGGTGAGTCCAGAAAAACAGCACCCCGACTTAGAAATGGGGCACGAGGGCTGGAGAAGAAAGTGGCCTTTTCAGTTCTAAACCTGAAAGGCTCCCCTCTCCAGGGCCATCTGGAAACGATGCACTGCCCTGACCACAGCACAGCGTGGAATCAGGACTCTGAGGGCAGGCACGTGTCCCAGCACAGAGAGCTGAAATATGGACGGACCCACAGCCTGGATCTGAATCGGGCTCTGTTCCAGAGAGGCTTTGGGCGGTACTCTGGACCCCTCTGTGCCTTGTTTCCTTGTTTTCAAGCTTGAGACTATGTGGCCACCACTCAAGGCTGACATGAGGGCCCCAGGGGGTAGGACACTGAATGTGGCGGGGTTTGTCGGTCTGGAACAGAGTCGATGCTAACTGCTGTCAGAACAAGAGCCACATTTGTAAACTGAAGGGCCCTTCATAGATCCTGTGGCTCTGTGATCATATACTGCCCTCCACACCTCTCTTTAGGCCCAGCCCATGCCCTAGATCAACATGGGGAGTTGGCCAGAAAATTTCCAGCCTTTGTTCGTTCAAGTCACTCTTTCACAGCCACCCACCAACCTCCCTCAGCCCTCACAGCCACCCACCAACCTCCCTCAGCCTTCAAAGTCAGCTCAAATGCCGCCCAGCGGAGGCAGCAGCCTCTGGTCCTTCCGTGTGATGAGCTGCTCCTTCTGGCTTCTCCCCATCTGTCCCTGTCCCAGCCAGGCTGATGTTCTGGCCACGTGCTTGCATGGGTGGGAGAGGGGACCAGCGCTGATGGGCGCCTGCTACATCCAAGTGTGGTGCTGGGTGTTGGACACACAACAGCTGTGAAGTATATGGCATTAATGTCCCCATCTCAGAGATGGAGGCTTCATGTGGTCAAGTGACCTGTCCAAGGTCATAGGGCTGTGACATGGCAATGACAGGGCTTAGGCCAAGTCTGATGCCAAAGGCCAAGTGGCTCTGCTATGCCTGCTGCCTTCCTAGGCCAGGTGACTCGAGGAGGAAGGGACCAGAGGAGGCTGGCCCCTCTCATGAGCCATGGATTTCCTCCAGGGCTGAACAGCCAACCATGAGCACCTAACCCAGATTAAGGCCCATGGGAGCCCGCCCCTCGGAACCAGGGGCCAGCATGGGCTCCCAGCAGCAGGTGGCCCAGGATGAGCTGGGAGCAGCCATGTTACCTGAGGACTGGCGCTCCCAAAGCCTGCTCCCAAAGCCTCCTTTCTCTGGGGCTCATCTGCGGGGAGTAGGGGAGGAGCTGGTTGGGTGCCTGGGTGTGGGCTCATTTCAGACCCTGTGATCCACCTGGCTGATTTTCATGGCCTTGGCTCAAGGCTGTTCAGCACATCCAGTAATTTCTGGTGCGAGGCTGTTCACTGGGACAGACTGGCTCCAGTCTACGGTGAGTACCAAAATGCAGACAGAACTCAGACACGGGTCCTGCCCTCTGGGTGTATAGAGCCCACGCGGGAGACGCACACATACACACCATCATAAAGCGACGCGGTTGCGCTGTCACGGAGGGAAACACAGGGGCTGTGGCCACGCAGAGGAGATGCCTAAGCCAGCCAGGGGGCCGCGAGATGCTTCCACGGGCTTGATGACTGTAGCGAGCTTAGATAGACACACAGCAGTGTGGAGACACAGGCAGGCAGTTACCCCAACACTGATGCATTCGCCTCATTCAGTCTCTGGCCCGGCCTGGGCCCTGAACTGCGACCAACAGATTCAAAGAAGATAGTGGGGTGACTCACACTGAAGGTCAAGGAAGGGCAGGCTGGGAGGCACCAAAGCATGAAAAGGGTACAGATTCCCTGTGAAGATCCCTGAGCGGTTGATGTGGGGTTCATCATGCTGCGGGTGGGCTGGGCTCTACTGGCAGAGTCTGCAGGGAGCTCAGAGGCCAAATCGCGGGGACTCAAATGCCAGGCCAGTGAGCCTGGACTCCACCTTGGGGACAGTGGAGACCCTTCTCCTAAAGAAGGGAAAGGACAAGGTCAGATATGTGCTCTAGGAAGACCCCTCTGGCTGAGGTGACAAGTGGGGACTGGGGAAGGAGAAAGGAAGATGGCAATTGTAGCAGTTCTAGATGAGGGTCACCAAGGCCCCATCCAGGGCAGAGGTGGCAGATGGAGCACAGGCCAGGGGACAGCTGCTCAGACAGACATGAAAGACACAAGTGACACAAGAGACAATGATGGTCCTGGGACAGCTCCCTCCACGCCTGTCCCCTGGAAGCCCAGCCACAACTCAGGGCCATGCTCTGCTGGGGTGAGTCCAAGGCGAGCCATCCACAGCTGGGTTTTAGAGGCTGTTCTGCTTCCTACTTCCAGATGTTGTGCCTTTTCCATGCATCCAAACCAGAAGGGAATCCTGTTTGGGCAGTAAATAGGCCACAAGCCACCTCCCTTGCTCCCCTGCAATGGCCTTGTGCCAAGCTCATCCCAACGTGAGATGGGGGAGCCCGGGCTAGAGACTGGGCTTCCTCTCGGCATCCAGCTCGTGCCTTTGTTCCTCTCTGGCCCATGCAGGGTGGGGAGGTATCTGCAGCAGAGGGCAATAACCCTCCGGGCTGCATCATTTTCCCGACTGGGGGAGAGTGCTGGATCAGTACATCATCTTCTCCCCAAGGTCTGTGTATTCCTGCCTTGGCTAACCCTCCACTCAGCACAGTTGCTCCTACCCCCAGCCTCTGTTCGGACTGTCCCCCTCCTGGGACTCCTTCCCTTCCAACTCTCTGACAATCTAATGCATACGTTTTTCAAACACAGGATCTGCCACTTGGTGTTCATGGTTTTCCAACATGGACCCAACTGCCTCTCCCATGCAGACGCTCCACACGTGATCTGCAGGAGTGAGACTGTGTCTGAAGAGTCCTGAATTCTGTCAGGAATTTCCACGCCCTCAGGCCTTTGCTTCAGCCATTCCCTAGGCCTGGAATGTCTTTCCTTTATTTGCTCATTTAGCAAACATCTACTCCTGTTGCTTAAGCACTCCCTCTGAGACGCCTTCCTCGACCTTCCCCACTCCCTCCTCTGCGACACCCGTGAGCTTGTGGGGTAGGTTTTCCCTGCACAGCCATGGCCTTCTCCCCATGCCCCCAGGCTGAGAGTTTGAGAGTTCCTTGAGGGCAGCGCTGGCATCTCAATCATGGGGCAAACGGTGGGATGGAAGCATGATATGGGGGTTGCTGGGCATGTGGTCCACGCACCCCTGTGAGTACACCCTCTCACCCCAGTGTGCAGGAAGGTACTTCGATATGTGCATGTGCACTGATGCCCGTGCTGTGCCCATGTATGTTGGCCCAGCCTTGTCCTACTTCCCGCCCCCTGGAACTCTCCAGAGCTGAGCCGCAGGCTGGGGTATAATAAGCAGCTGCCCCGGATGCCCCGATGGGAGTGGCCTGTCCCTCCAGGTGGAAACAGAGATAGCAGCAGATGAAGGGGCACTACCCCGTCAGGACTGGTCTGGGATGAGGATGCTGTAGGCACCCCTGGCAGAGCCAGAGTCATGCCCCACGAGGACCAGCATCCCAGACACGCCAGGGGCCTTGAGGGCTTATGGGCTCTGCCTGCAGCTGCCTGCCAAGGTCCCTGTGGTCCTTCCTAGTCAACAACTGCACAGATGGGGACAACACAGGCACAGAGAAAGGGATGGGAGCGATCATCAGTTCAGTCCCTATTGTGTGCTTGGTTCTGCTGGGCCTGGTGCTGTCACAAATGTGGCATCTTATCTTCTCTACCACCCAGTAAGCAAATATTACTATCCTCACTGACAGACGGGGAGCTGACGCTCAGGGTGCAGCCAGCACGGGGGTTACACACACGGACCCTGCTGTAGACCCAGCCCAGGGGGCACTCTTTGGGTCCCAGGAGCAGCCTCCAATGAGTGCAAGGTAGCCTTTGGGGTGGGCGTGGCTTGAAGGGGCCCCATCCACCGGCTGTATAGGGCTGAGGGAACTGCAGGGAGGGAACCCCCCACCACTGGGTTGTGGGGGCACAGATGCTGCAGAATGGATGCATGGGGCTTGTTAGAGCAGAAATGCAGCCATCCAGCACGTCCCTGGCTTCGGACCTTGGTTTCTCAGGGGGAGGGAGAACTTACCTTAAAGTAATGGTACCATGACCGAGGGCATCATAATGATTCCATGGGGCCTGCACCACAGGGAGTGCCACTGGGACAGGGCCTTTCTGACACCCCAGTCACCTCAGTCTCTATAGTACATTTGTCCAGGACAGACACCTGCTTCCTGCTGCCAGTGTCCAAGGGTACACTGGACCCCCATTGCAAGGGCTGAGTGCCTCTTTGTGGGGTCAGGGAGGGGCATTGTTCCCCCTGTGCCAGGGGCACTGAACCTGAGCTATGCCACAGGCAGAACTGCCATCTCTCCTAAGAAAAAAAGTGCCTGCAACACGAGGTAAGCCCTGAAAGCCACCTGCACACCCCATCCCTCCACTCCTACCTTACCACCCACCCACCCCAACCCTACTACTGTGCACCCCCCATCCTTCCACTCGCGCACTTCTGGGAGTCACTCACTCATCCTCTCCTCTTTGAGCACACAGGTTCTTATCCTCCTGCCTCGCTCAGTTGCCCCTCTGTGTGCCTGGCAGTGTGCTGGGAGCTGAGACCCAAGGGCATCAAAGACCCACAGCTCCAAACACACTGGAATGTGTTCAGAGCCCTAGGAAGGGGCTGACCCGGGGGCTTCTGGCTGGCAGAGGTTGGGGAGCTATACAGGTCTTCACAGAGGAGCTCAGCCCTGACGCCCAGGCAGGGGCTAGAAACACAGAGCCAGGAAAA